GTTAATTGGATGAAAATTGTAGATTTTTCATACAAACGTTGGAGCCCGTTTTCCCCCCTTTGGCGTTCGAATTTTCCAAAACCGCTTCTTAGTGCTCACTTTCACTATAAGAGGGATCTTGTGTCCAAATTTCAGCTTCCTAGCTCTTACCGTTTGGGCTGTGCGTTGATTGCCAATCAGTCAGTCAGTCAGTCAGGACAAACTGTTTTATATATATAGAGATTTTGTGCGTCTTTATTGAATCAATGCGCAGTTCCCAACTATAAGGGATGAGCGCTAAAGTGAAGCCAAAGTTGGACGATTAACAAAAATCTATATTTTTACGAATTAACACATTCGTGACTTTAACACTTTCCCTTGTTAATTTTAAAAATAATACATAGTGAATAAATTTATATGGAGAGTCCCATCTCACTGCAGAGTAATTTAAGGCGTGATATCGGCAGTGGTTTCGTCATCACATCGGCAACTTGCTTTTCCGTTGAGATCTGCTGGACTTGAAGCATTCCCTTCTCTCTTATAAAAAAATGCTTGTTCATTATATGTTTGGTGCGGCGATGAAACTCGGGATTTTGAGCGAGTCTCACTGCAGCTGAATTGTCTACTTGTAGAATAAGCACTTCTCTCATTTTAGTGATGCCTCGGAACAGTTTCGTTAGCCAAATAATTTCTTTAGCTGCTTCGTTGGCTGCTACAATATCTGCTTCTGTTGTTGAATTAGCTACCATTGCTTGACGCTGACTTATACACGTTATTATACCTCCAGCATGTTTAATAACAACTCCTGATGTTGATCTGCCCGTCTTTATACAGCCTGAGAAATCTGCAGAAGCTGTCGTCTTTTGAGACAATCTTAAACTCCTTTCTCAACTCGCCTGTGAAACCATCACCTACATAGATTACGAGTATTATTTTCTTGTCGTTTTGCTCTTTAACATACAAACATGGATCTGCTTCATTGACTTTGAATCCAAGTTGTGTCAGAAAAACTCCGAAACGTTTATTCCAGAATCTTGGTGCTTGCTTTAGCCCGTATAAACTCTTTTTCAATAAGCACACCTTGTTTGTGCCATCTTCGAATCCTTCTGGCTGGCTCATGTAAATGGTTTCTTCAAGCTCTCCGTAAAGAAACGCGGTTGGTACATCAAATTGAGACAGATGCATGCCTTCGCTTGCTGCAATGCTCAAAACTGATCGAATCGTACCTATCCTTGCAACTGGAGTGAACGTTTGGGTATAATCGATGCCTGGTTTCTGAGCGAATCCTTTAATGAGAAGTCTGGCCTTAAACTTGTCGATGCTTCCGTCTGCATTCTCCTTTTTACGAAACACCCATCTGCAGGGCAATGCTTTCTCACCGGACGGTAGAGAAACAAGCTTCCATGTTTTGTTTTCTTCTAATGACTTCATTTCGCTCATCAAGTCTTTCTTTGCTAGTGACAGCTTCTGCAAACGACTCTGGGTTGGTTTCCAAATTGAATTCTTCTGCTTACATGACAAAATCATTGAATTGTTTTGGTTTGACAAGTGTTGATCTATCTCGTAACGTTTTTTCAGTATCGTAGTTTTCATCTTCTCCAGTCTCGTAATTGTCTTCGCTGTCGCTTTCTGTTAATGTTTCTTCGCTTTCAATCTCATCTGAATTTTCTTCAACTTCTTCGGTCTCTTTGCTTTGTAGCTTCTCTTTGGGCGCGTCTTTAAATATCAAACCCACTTTTTGCTCACAATTACCAATCCTTTCAACAAAATTGACATCTCTAGAAAGTACGACTGTATGCTTCTCTGGTATATAAATTCTATATCGCTCATCACCGTCATATCCAACAAGATAACCTTTTACAGCCTTCATGTCCATTTTCTTCCTTTTTTGCGATGGAATATGTGCATAACACGTAGACCCTATGATACGCAAATGTTTAATTCTTGGCCTTTTACCTGTCCAGAGTTCAAATGGACTAATATCCGGAACTGATGATTTTCCAGTTCTATTAAGAGTATATATAGCGGCGCTGATTAATTCCGCCCATATAGATTCTGGAAATGTGACTTCTTGGTTTGAATATTTAAACGTTCTTGCCATTTCCACAACTGTTCTATTGTCTCGTTCTGTGCTACCATTCTGCTGTGGCGTATAAGGAGCTGTGAGTCTTTGCACAATGCCATATTTCTGTAGAATCTCTCGTACTTCAGCGTTGTCGAATTCTCCTCCATTGTCACTTAGCATCTCCTTAATCTTGTGCCCGTATGTAGCACAATAGACGATCATGTTACTCAACATGACTTTTGCTTCTGATTTCTGCTTTACTATAAAGCCGATCCGAAACTTGGTATAACTATCCTTGAACAAAATCATATATCGTTTTTTATTGAACGATTCATGAAATGGGCCGCATATATCCGTTGTAAGCAACTCTCCAGGACTTGTTGCTTTCTGTCTGGTTCCAAAGGGTAGGCGATGACTTTTACCATATATGCAAGGCTCACAGATACTACTGTCAAGTTTAACTTTAATGCCGAACACTCTATCAAGCATATTCTTAACGTGTATTTTATCCTGATGCCCCCATCTTGCATGGTAAAGTTCCAACATTGAAGAATCTGCTACTGCACTTTGTACTTCTGGATTCTTTTCAGGTAGCATTACTTCAACGCCTGCTTTAAACAACGATCCTCCTACTTGTCGTGTTCCCTTAAGCACTATTTGGTCATTCACTTTTAGAGTGCACTCGGTAGCGGCCGATTCAAAAGTGCTATTTTGATTTCTATCTTGAGCCGCAAGCACTGAAAATAAATTTCTATTAATATCTGGTACTAGCCACACATCTTCTAGTCTAATTTCTTTAAATGGTGACTTAATCATGATGGTTCCTTGACCAATTGCAGAAAGAGTTTCTTTCCCTGCTGCCTTAATACAACATGAACTCTTAAACTTGTGGAACTCAGTGAAATACTTTGCTGACCCTGTGACATGCTTAGTTGCTCCATTGTCGATCCACCACTCTGTCAATTCCAGTTCTGCTGCGTTAACTTCATTGCCAATTGTGACAAGACTAACCACAGGCTCCGCTGAATTGCCTTGTGCAATTTTAGATCGATTTTCTTTTGGACAACCATCAGCTTTCCACTTCTTGCAATGGCGAACCCAGTGCTCTTTCTTCTTGCAGTAATTGCAGGTATCTTCTTTGTAGCTGCGATTACCATAACTTTTCTTCTCACTTTTAAGCATAAGTGCCTCCTGATCTCCGGTTTCGCTGGTATCATTCTTACGTATATTCCTTTCAAACATACATATCTGCATTGTGAACTCATCAAAAGTCTTTTCTGTATCCTTTGTCAACAACATCCAACTGTGTCGGAAGTTTTCAAACCTGCTGGGTAAGATGTGTAAAGGTTTACACACTAACACACAAACTTTTGAGTTTCGCAATGTGTGATGAAACATCACTACCTCGTGTCCAATTAAATGCAAAGAAATCTGAACAAATCTTAAATAGCTGATCCTTGGACGTGGCTTCGAACTGCTGCTTTAGCGCTTCCCATGCTTCATGCGCTGTGCCTTTGTCCAAAATTTTTTGGTAAACTTCGTCTGTGACTGCACTTGAGATCAACGCTTACCATAGCTGTTTGCTTTTCTATAACAGTCACTTTTCTCCTTATGACTTTTAACTTCGGCCTCACTTGCGTTTTCCGGCAGTGCCTCCGGCTTGACCAACTTGCCATCCAGTGCATCTAGAGCACCGTCATGATAATCTAGCATATCACGAATCTTCCGTTTCCACAGTGGCCAATCATCTGCTTCACAAGCCAACAGGTTTATACCTGAATGCCTTAAATGATCCATATCTCTTTCTTATGTGTTGCGCTGTAACACGTGGCTGTTCCCATAACCTATTAAAGGTATTGTGCGTCTTTATTGAATCAATGCGCAGTTCCCAACTATAAGGGGTGAGCGCTAAAGTGAAGCCAAAGATGGACGATTAACAAAAATCGATATTTTTATGAATTAACACATTCGTGACTTTAACACAAATCACACAGTCTTGTTCTTTTTGATTGGTTGTCGAATAAATGTTATGCTGATTGTAAAATTAAATAAGCACTGTTTGTCTATTGCTTTTGCAACTGAATTTCCACAAATCGCTAACGATGCTTCGAATTAGTTATCTTCACAGTGGTTTTCTATCCATTTGTAATCCATATGTAAGCATTTCAATGGCTTTTCCAAAGGCGATAGATTACTCGTGTTGCTACATTTAAGAAACACATCCAAAAATCATTCTTAACAGTTACACTGAGCTTGAAATAGAAATCTTTTGACAGCTATTTTTAAAGTAATGTCAACAATTTGATGACATTGCGGCCACTCACCTGTACTTTCGGGTTCAATTAGTAAAACAAGCAGACTGATTGGATTTTAATATGCATTTCTGTTTTAATATTTATTATTTATAAATGAACCCATTTACGTGTGTGCCTGTTGGTGTTTGTTGTTCGCTTTTGTTTCGCCATTCTGCGTGGCATTACAATTATAAATATTGAACATGCATAGTACGGTAATTAACATTAATTGTTTTGCTCTTAAATTGAAAAGTATAAATAGATCGTACATACATATTTGGAGTTAAATATAAACAAAACACATATTATTTGTATGTGTAGGTATGCAGCTATTTTGCATTATGTGGGGGGTTGGTAGCCATGTTTATTAATTAGCTTTAATTACATTAAAAATACATTAATATGTACACGGAACTTAGTAGCGTAAGTATCTTCATTATTTATATTATGTATTTATATGCATAGTTGCCTTTTAAGTTTTTAGAAGCATAAAAATGTTGGTTTGATAAAAAAAAAACACTGATTTGTTTTGTTTTTTCGTTAATTTTAAATTTGCTGCATTGTGCAATATTTTTTGTGATGCAAGACATTTTATTTGAATTCCACTAACATTGAAAATGTATCGTATTAGTAGCTAGTTTTTGTGAGAAATTCTTGTGCATATTTGGAAAATTAATTTCGCATTTTAATTTAAATATTTCGCAATCATTGTTTTACATTACAAACTTTTTCATTCAGTCTTTCAAACTAAAAATTGTGGGTGCGTTAATTTTCATTTGAATTATTTTTCGCTGCACTTCCCACAGCCTTCAAAAATGAGTTATCATTCCATTTGTTTTAAGCCGCCTTTTGTTTATGCCATTCGTAATGCGCTTAGAATTGTATTGTATTCAGAAAATGCAAGTACATACCCCATTACGCACATAGAATGCAAATTTGTAACTACACTAAAAGCTAATTGGATGTTTGTATTTTAAGTTATTTATTTGCCATTTATTTGTATGCATTTAAATTGTATTTGATTTTTGGTTGTTGTTTTGCACGTTGCTAAATATTTGGCTTCTTTCTGTTTGCTAAATGCAAAGAACATTTCAAAATTGCTTTGAATATTCCATTTTGTATTTTATTGTATTTTACATGAAGTTTTCAATTATTTGTAATAATTATTTGATTTATAAGCAAAGTATTCTTTGATAAATATTTTGTCCATCCCACCAAACCTTCGCTACGTTTTACAAACGCATTCCCCGCCCACCCCCTTACACTAGACATGCGATAGAGATACGAGATATGTCGCTAAACTTTGCCCGAAAACTACGATATTAGCATATGAAGTAGAGTGGGTAATATGTGTATATATTTATAAATAGACGCATATATAGGTATATATGTATATTTAGTTGCCAGTAAGTTGTGTATGTACTCTTCATATATAGACACCGATAATTGCTACTTTAAGTTATATGTATACTATATATACAATTCACTAAACTTGCCAACCATAAATGCATCTTAGAAATAGTCCATCTTGGGGGCATCGAGGGCTGTGTGCATAGTTAGGGTCACGCCTCTATTTATGCTGACCGCCGGATAGAATACGCCGTAGAGGTCGCGAAAAGCCACAGATCCCTGTGGCATTTCGTTCACCAGAAAACTTAGCGTGTGTCGCTCCAGATCCAAGAGTACACCAATGGTACTGCCTGTGGTTATGCCGCCCTCAACGCGCCGCTCGTGTATGGAGTTGTGTTGGAACCAGGAGCGCTGACGATCAATATACATGGCGAAGGACTTCTCATCTTTGCCTGAATGGAGCAAAAATTTTGGAAATGAAGAAAATACAATTAAAATTTTATTGGAATAGGATTAATGTGCGAGTTCATAATTAAAGTAATGTTCAAATATGTGTCGTTGCTCAAAAGCCATTTAAAAAAAGATAAGATCGGTTGATGCTTTGTAAGCGATAAAGCATTGGTCTGACAATTCTTCCTGCAAGTTTCTAGTTATTATAGCAGATTTAGAACGGCTGTAACAAATATAGTTTCAAATAATTGCTGTCCAGTGAATTTTCAAACCACTTGTTTTTTTTATAAGAAGTTTTAAAGCTATGGCAATGGAAAGACGTAAAAAAACACATTTAGCTCTAAAAGTATTCTCCTTAAATTGTCTTCATTGCTCGACAAACTGTGCCCCTTCTTCTTTACAGTGTTATTCGAAGAGCTATTGGCAACATAAACACCTGACTGTTCGTCTTTCAAGGGAAATCGAAGCATGAAGTCTTAACACTGCTCTGCTCAGTTTAATATTTGACAGTCACGTCCGAAGTTCGTTTTAAACGACAGCTCTGAGACTGTCCATGCAGCGTGGCTCGACTGTCTGCCTGTTTGTCTGGCTGCTTTACAACACTATAAATGACAACAACAACAAGTCGTAAAATGAAACAGCTCAGCAAGTTGCAAACTGCATTGTTAGTGTCAATGTCAGTCACTTGGGGGCGCCACCTGCACGCACACCGTAGGAATGCGTCGTCAAGACACGCAAAAACTCACCCCTCCCTGCCCCCTAGACCCACACACTTGTCGGGCTCCGCACGCCATGCGTTTGCATATGAAAATTTAATTTCAAAACTTGTGCTTGCAACTTTTTGGCACTCACTCTGCTCGTGAGTGTGCGGTGGAATGGCGACCGAGCACGTGTTAAATAGCGCGTGAGCTGCTTTAAAAATAATTTGTGAGAGTTGACGGTGGCGGCGAATAAATTTATTCCTTAAGTTGCAATTCTGTTTGCATACGTGCGGGCGGTCTTAAGTGCTTATGTGACACACATACATATACAAATATATGGGACAATTTACAGCATCAGGGGCTGAACAACTTTTTGTCTTAGAGTCCCGGGCCTTTGTCAGAAGCAGAAAAAGTTTAAGTGCCGCACTTTTAATTACTTTTGTCTCTCTGCCGCCCGCTGCATTTTCAATCAATTCGAAGCATACTTGGAGGCGCAAAATAAAAGGCTTTCGTCATTGAGACAGTTGCTGTTTGTTTTTGTTTCCAGCATTTGTGTATGTATTTGTAAACACCCACACACACACACACAAACACTCGATTGCACACACGCCACTACCACTTCCGGCAGTGTAAATGAAACTCAAAAAGTTTTACCCACGCACGCACGCAACCAGCAGCGGCAAAAGTTTTGCCACGCCCATCAATACAGTTCCATTTATTGGCTTCCCATTGACGCACTCAAATGAAAAAGTTTCAACGCCTCAGCGCACAGTGGTTAGCTATTGCTGTTCCAACGAAAGTATTTCTAAAAGCATTTCCAAATTAAGATCACATCAAAAGTGAAGAGATGCTAAGTAGTGTATCTGGAATTTAAAAAAGTAAGGCCCACAACAGAAAACTGGTGGTAATCGCAATAAATGAATGAACACTTTTCAGATTAGCCCGGAATTGGTTTCCAAAACGTAGAAAAGTTTTGAGACTTTCTATACATTTAAAATGATTTATTCGGCAATTGCAACTTAAAGTAGCCGTATTTATACGCTGTACATGAAATGTACAAAAGTATATTAGGTTTGCGGGAGCTGAAAAATGTAACAGACAGAAGGAGGCGTGGCAGACCCCACAAAGTATATATATTCTTGATCAGCATGACGAGACGAGTCGATCTAGCCCTGTCTGTCTGTCCGTCCGTACGAACACCTGGATCTCAGAGACTATAAGAGCTATAGTCACCAAATTTTGCACAAAGCTGCATTATGTGTGCACGCTATACGAGTTCATTTTTTTATTTTCCCCCCCACTTTCCCTATAATGGGGTTTTTCCCATATCGCCGTTCGTATAATCGCCTATATCTCGGTGACTTAAGACCTAGGGACATCAAATTTGAAGTCCAAAATGCCAAGATGAATACGCAGAAAATGTGTTTTTTGGAATTTCCCTCCACCCCCCTCACCACCCGCAATTCATGATTTTCCATAACCCCCCGTAATTCTTGGAATTGGCAAATACCTCCAGTAAGTGATTATGTGTCCTTATACAAAGTTTCATTATGATAGGCCGATTTATCAGGAAGTTATAGCCATATATATAGTATTTGGACAAGCGCTGCCCGCAGCTGTTGTTGTTGTTGCTTCTTTGGTTCAACATTGTGCTGCAAGCATGTTCACACAGACACATAGACACAATTCCTATGTAAATGTCTAATTATACACCCTTTACGTGAGTTCGAATACCAAGGTTGTATATTTTATTTTATTTTCTTAATTTTTAAAATTTCTTTTCCTTTTTTTCTTGTTTCCATTTAATTAATGGGAGTAAAGCTGATATTGGTTCTTCATCTTTTTCATCACAAAACTATTCAGTTGAGACAGTGTGCCTTGCTTAGAGTCTGTTGTTTGTTGTCGTCACCGTCTGTTCTGTTTTTGTTGAGCCACTTATTAGCTTGAAACTTCGGGCCTCCTTTGTGTAAAACAATGCATGCGACTGCCGTTCTTTGTCTATTGCTTTTGTTATGCGTCAAATAATGTCATAAGAAACAAAAAGCAGAAACTTTTTAAAAGCTTTTCGCTCTCAGCCGCACACCTTTTCTATTTTTAATTGAATTTCGATTGGCACACTTACGAGTACCCCAAACCATGTATAAGCTGAGTAAGCCATTTGCTAAATTACATAATGCACACTCACCCAACATCTTGTTTCTGGCCACATCGATGCGCGCCACTCCGAAGGCCGGATCCGTGTCTGCCGTATAGTTGTCGATGGTGAACTCCCAGTAGTGGACGCCGCGCGAGAATCCCACCGAGCCGAGCGCCACCCGGTGCTCCCAGCCCTCGACAGAGACTGTGGCATTATTTTTGCTGAAGATTAGACCAGAACCGGCGCCACCGCTGAGCACGGGATCAAACGTGAACCAGGCCACTGCATTGAAGAGATAGACAGAAAGAAAAAACGCCAAAACGTAAAGTAAGTGCAAAAGAAGTGTAGAAGAGAATAAGGTGGGGAAAATATAGCTTTGGACTCTGCTATGCAATTTTCTCTATTGTCAAAGCTCAAGTGGCAAAGCACTAGTGAGTGGCTGAGAGGCGACTTTCCTGGCTTCGGCTACGGCTTTAGCTGCGGCTTTTGCTTTGGCTTGGACTCCGTTGCAATGTTGATAGTTTATGCTGTTATGCGCCGCAGAGTATGCTACGACAACCAGCCCGAGTACTTTATTAAATTTACTTTTATTGTTGTGGTGCATTAAGTGGTCAGCAAGGCAGTCAGAGAGTCCGCAAGGCAGCTGATGCCGATGCAGATGATGAGGATGGTGATGATGACACTGATGAGTATGCGGCAATTGCTATTGCAGCAACACCTCCCCCATCTCAGCTCCCCATTGGCTGGACCAGCTTGGGCTTTTCGTTGGCGGTTGCTTTTGCCTTTGCTGTTCCTGGTTTTGTTTTATTAGCCACTAAAGGCAATTGTGTGGCCAACACAGCCCACAAAGTAATCGCACAGCTAAACTTTATTGTTTGCCTACAGTTTGTGCGCGGATATTACTTTATGATTATGCCAATAACAACAAACAAGTTTAGTATTAAACGAGTTACCTATCAAGTGGCCGTTGAGTAGTTTGCTTGAAGCAAACCAAATGGACGTTTGAAGTAGGGATATGTCGGTGTACTTTGTGACTAATAGCAACCATAAACTATAACTTTAAAAATCAACATCCATACGCAATATCTGATAGCAGGCAAAAGGGTAGTCCTATGTAATGTATTGAATGTAATTCGTAAATATTGGGCCAAAATGCGGCTTGAAATATAAGAATGTAGAATATTTGCTTGCTGATTGAATTAAGATTGAAACAAATTTGTTAAGCAGATGTACTACAGATATTATGTAGCATTCTTTCCACCATTTACAGGAGTTCAAAAGGAATGGCTTAAGAGTAAACTTTCAGTTAAGTAACTTTTATTCGATGAATTATAAAGTGGCTAAGCTTAGCTTAGTAATACTGAGAAAGAAATTACAAATCTTTAAGTCTACATCCGAAATAGTAGATGATTGTACGAAAAAGTTCAAAAGTTTTATTATTTTTATTTTATTTCTAAGTATATTTCAAATCTACACTAAATGCTGTTAATGGCAATATTTATTTACTTAACTTCTTTCTTGAGTTTTTTTTTTCAATTAAAGCTAAACACCTAGTTTAAGTTGAAAAAAAAAAATTAGTTTTTGTTTAATTTTGTTTTAATATATGATTCGAAGCTATCATATATCTGGCTTTGTTACTACTCTATAAGTAAAGCACAAAATTAAAGAAATTTCAAAAAGATCAATACATCAATTCATCAAAAATTTAGGAGATATATTTGTTATTGAAAATTTGAAATATTTTCTGTTAATATATAGATCATTTCCAGAAACTATGTGTCAACATCTTTTGCCTTTACCGGTAGCTCATCCAATTTAAATATTTAGTGGAATAAACTGTTAAATTATTATTGATGGATGGCTCTAGTTAAGTCTTATAATACGACAAACCTGTTCGCTTTTCTTTCCGTAAATAAACATTGATGTTGCGGCATTTAGATATTTATATCTGAATGCAAGGTCTCTCTTTTCAGTGTCGCGTATACTTAGTTCTTTTATTTGGTTGCCCTTATAATCAAATGTCTACCCTCATCATTTGCTTAACTCCTTCGTTTAGTGAACCCATTTGCTAGCTAACGGGCGAGGCGTCATGGGCCATAATTCTTTAATTACTTAGAAGCACGCGCCAAGGTAAACACTTTATAAAATAACAATTTCCATTTCGCTGCTGACCCCGGACACGGCCTCCCCACCCCATCGGTTGACACAAGTGCCCAAGAAGTAATCAATTAAAAGTTGCAAATTAACGGAAAACTAAAAATGCGCTACGCCGTGTGGCAATAAAATAGAAAGCGCGGGCAATTTTATAAATTAAATAACTTCACGCGCCATTTTCATTTTGTGGTCGTAGGTGAAAGGTGGCGGGGAAAAAGGTGAAGAGGTAAAGATGTGGGCCGGCAGGTGGCGCTGCGCATGCATCAATCAAGTGAGAATTTGATTACGAATGGTGGCCACGTTACGCGTCCTGCAAGACAATTTCCCAGCTACTGGCTGCAGTGGAGCTTTCCTGCCTGTCAGCCAAATACCGCCCGCCCACCATCCTCCACCGCATCGCAGCTACCCGCCGGGCATAAAGGGGTCAATGGCTGTTTGACATGCAAAGCACACGGCTACAGCCGTCACGGGAGGCCACATTGATGGCCATGGCGCATGACCGAAAAGGATTAAATTATAAAACAGTTGGAAAAGTAGCTCAACGGCTGGTACTAGCGTCAGCGCCGACTTAATTGAAAAAGCTGGTAGCTAGTAGCTAGTAGTGGTACTCACCTTCCGCCGTCTGCAGTCCAATCAGCTCGGAGTATTCACCCTCGCCGGCACTATTGAAGGCCTTCACGCGCGCATTGTACATGGAATTGAAGTGTAGACCGTCGACGGTGCAAATTGTTTCCTTGCCGCAATAAACTTCCTGCAAAGAGCACAGAAATTCTGAGTTTGAGGGCCAGAGTGGCAGAGCAGGGCCTTAAAGTTTTAGTAACAAACGGTTAACCCATCAATGGCGAATCCATCTATAAATGCAGCTAAGCGTTGCAAAAACATAGAAAACTAAAACTCCTATCCTTCGATGAAATATTTGTCATAAGAAAACATTTCTGCAATATACATAAATATTTTGTGCAATGTGTCTTCGAAATCAAGAGACTTGACATTAATAATAGAAGTTTTGATTTTTAATATTCCCCCCAATTGTTTACGCAAATATCAAACTTTCGAATGTACTTAGTTCATTGTTTTAAAATTACGATTCAAGAAAACTAGGCCCTCAGTAAAGTTGCCTGGACTTATGAAATAACCTCCGTATTAGTTTAATTTTAAAAGCACTATAGTTGACTGCATTTGCTATTTTATGCCATTGATGGGTTAATCATTCATTCATTTCTTGGGAGTTGTAACTTACCCGAAACTCTCCGCCGCTGCCATCGTCTAGTTCCAGGACATAACCTTCGACAAAGGAATGACTGGGCGGCTGCCACGCAACGGTCACAGAATTATTTTCCGCTGAACAATCGGCCGGCAATATGGTGGGCGTTAAGGGTGCTGTGTGAAATGAATGGGCGTGGTTGTTATAGTTAGCAATTAGTTTTCATAACGCACACACAATAACGAGAGATTGTAGCTGAACAAAAACAATAACAATAATAATAATAACAACAATAGCACGAAAGAAAAATCAAGTTTTTATGCCAATTATTATGGAAATGTGTTAAATTTGTGGAGGTGTGTGGATTAGTCTGCCATGTAAATTATATTGGAGTTAAAGTTAAGGCTAAGGAAATGTCAGTTAAAGTGGCACGCAACAGGAAGTAAGCAAAATCGCCCAACAAATACTAAACTAAAGTGCAAAATATATAAGTATTAACTAATAAACAATAGAGGTTTGTACAATGGATGTTATGATGGTATTAGTATAAAAGATTGCTTTTATGTAAACAAAAGTAATACGAGATATACAAAAATGTATTTCGAGATCGATTCGCAAATCAAACGAATGCATTTACTATTTAAAGTTTTTCGAGCCTAACTATCGTTTTAAGATAATTATGTCAATCTGTTTTCAAATCTTAAAACCAGTTTAAGAAGACAGGTTTTCTTAAGTTATTGTCAGAGAATCTATCTTCTGGCGCATTAACTGCTTACTAATTGGCGCAGGCATGAAAATTGCAACGCTTGCAAAATTAGTGTTGGAAAAAGCTACAATTAGGCGGCTGTTTCAGTCAGTGTTGCCACTGTTGATGCAAATAGAAACAACAAAAAGAACATTTTTTAAGTTCTTCAGCAACATATGATAACTATGAATAAAATCAACTACTAAGTTGGAAGTTCAATTAAAAAGGTCAAAATGTGTGAATATAATAAAAATAAAAATGCCTTATCATTACTTTATTTAAGAATTCAAAAGTGCAGTCATAATTTTATTATGCTTTTCGTAAAGAATACAAAATATTCGAATGCTTCAAAATGTTGAGAGAAAACACTTTGATACCATTTTGTGCGGAATTTTGAAGCAAAAGAAATAACTGAAATAAATAACTAATGCGAAGCATTGATAATTTTGTAAAATCCGTTCGTTTTATTCAAGGTAAGCGCATTCAGCCGTAAACATAAAACCTCAAAAAATCTGTCCAACTTTTGGTTTCCATCATGATTGCCAACATTAGGTATTAATTGGAATATCTTCAATCACAAAAGCTGACCATAAAAACCAACATGACTGCATAGAACGCTTTCAAATAAAAAGCATTTATGATGAGCTACAAAAAACGACCAAATTGGGTTAGCATGGAAAATGAAAACAACATTAAAATGGCGGTGACATGAAATTTTGGAACGGGCCAAGCAAGCTGTCAAATGTCAGAGCCACAAAAAACAGGTAAAGTTTAAATGTGAAATTTATTAGATGCCGAAGCAGACTTAGAAATGGGCAAAAAGTGTAAAGGATAAAGGCCACTAAGCAGCAGAGGGCGATAAATGACACGCCCAAGCAAACTGGCAGCGGATCAGCGAAGCGCAAAAATGACACAAAATATATAGAGAATACCAAATAAAATGCAGTAAGAACGAAAAATTCCTAGCTAGCTGAAAACCACGAAAATGAAATGTTAAAATGTTAAGCGTGAAATGATGATGATGGCCAGGATGGGGAAATCAAATAAAAAAGGGCAGCAAGCGGGGAATGTGCGTAAAAATATTTATGTCACTTAAGCGAAAGCGTCGAACCGCCGCATTGCCGCACCACCGCAGCCATCGCTGTCAACGCCATACTGACAGTTGCGGACAAAATGGCAGCTGACATGGGACGGAAGTGAAAATATTTTGACAGCATTTTTATTTCGCTCGCCATTTTATAACTGAAATGAAAAATTATGCGTGGGCGCGTCAAAACAGAACCAAGAGGCATAAAACAAAATGGCCACGTGTGAGTACATATATGTATGCGTGCGTATGGGTGGATTGGCGGATGAGTGTGTGTGTACGTGTGTATGATAGAGCTGTAGCACCAAAGAAGGAGTTGTGGCTGTTGTTGTTTGTCATAAAAACAAAACGAAAACGAAGAGAAAATTATTTATGTTATTTGAAGAATTATTTTGCGAATAAATAAAATTTGCTTTCCAACATGTTGTTAAATGCAGCATTTCTTTTTTAAATTCATATATTTTTTCATTTGCTCACCTGCCGGACATCTTTCTTCTCCATCTTTGACAGCTAATATGGTTTATTTATTTGTATATTTACATTTTTTGTCATTATTGATTTATTTATGAGCAAGCAAGCGGGTGTTTTTGTGTGACAATGTGGGCAAGGAAGGATAAAAGAGAAGCACAAAATGTTAGACATATAAATATATAGGTATTGGTATGGTTCTTCGTTATATATTTATACACAATTGTAAGTATGTTTAGTCATAAATAACAGGCACAGACACAACGAACAATGTGCAGACATCGAATTTCAACACTTTCGCTCTAATTGTACTTTTGGGTTTATTTTTAGTTGGTCGAGCACTTTGGCGGTCTCTTCAAATTTCCTTCTACATTTTGTCAACCCGTCAACGAGGTATCAGCGTCGGTTTCTTTTGTTTCGTTTATTACACACTCGCACTTTCTCCAGAAAAATACCTTCCCAAATACTCCCACCATCTACGCTAAATTTAAACTCGCACTGAGTGAGTGTTTGGGGTTTCCTCTGGGGTGCCACTATTTTTACAGCACTTTAGTTCACTTTTCAATGGCATTTAATGAGCCCGCTTTTGTTTCACACGCCAATTGGGGAGAAATGTGCATGAGTGTGATTTTGTGTGCATATATGTACAAACATATATGTAGAAGGCATAGCATAGGTAGATGTGTAATTATTTACATGTGCTTGTATGGGACTGCACCTTTCTCTGTGATAAATTAGTGACAATTTCTATTTGGCTTCTACTTAAGTACACTTTAAGACTTAGATACATTGGGTAATAGCATACATATTTAAAGAACTGCACATATTTAATTGTTTAATCAATTAAAAATCTAGCTAAGGAATTCCAAATTATGTCTAAAAAGAAATACATACTTATGTATATATAAGGCAACAGCTTTTAGTCAATTAACATTGTAGACTAAGAATTTCAAAGTAATTTCAATAATTGTACTCTGGACTATACGTCACAGCTCTTACTCCATTAACTTTCTAGACTTAAAGATTCTATGCAATGTCTATGAAAACGCAGTTACTCAAATCAAAAAGTTTTTTTAAACGGCTCGCTGCATTCAAATTATTTCAAACAAAACAAGCAACTTGGAAAAAAAAACACGCTATGGTGAGACGGGCAAGTAATTAGCACCAAAATTTGTAGAATTACACTGATAGATCATTACTTGTAATGGTATTTGAACTAAAAACCAAAACAATTCTTTGAAAATTTTTTTTTTGTTTTTTGTATTTTAAAACTTATTTTATTATCAACTTGTATGTATTATTCAGAAAATCTTATGTATTTGGGGAGACGCGGGCGAGAAAAAAATCAGCGGCTTTTAATGTTAACAATAGATGTGTGTAGTCCTGATTATTACTGAAATTCTGGAAATTCTGGCATTTCATTATTATTTTAAAGAACTATCAAAAAAAACTTTACAAAAAATATGCAGTATGTGAACAGAAAGCGATTCCTCTCTATTTTTATGTTAGAAGTAATAAAGGATTATTTAAGTTCCTACTTCAGTCTGAATTTGTCACTTCAAAACATACAGAAAACACATACAATTCTCCGCTCTCAAATCGTAGCATATAACATTTTAGATATGAAGTTTTGATTTCATTTCCGGTCATACTCTTTAAAAAGCACTAACTACTTAACTTAAGTAGAATCAGTTATTAATGGTAAGTAAGGTCTCGTAGCTTGTATGCAACTTGCAGCAAATAGTTATTAGCAATAATTACTTAATTCGTATTCATTGCAGCACAGATGCATAAAACGCCAACTTACCTTTCATTTGTATGAAGTTCAAATTGTCGATGGCACGTGCCAGAGCCGCATCATCGAGAGTCAAGTCCACAATTGGGGAGACGCGTGGCGCTGCATTTGTGACCTCCTGATGCCAAGTCATGTCGGTGTTGGCCACACGATTGATCAACATGGAGCCGACCTGCATAAAGCAATTGGGCATTAATTTGGCATAAAATTAACCTTTTCGGTTAGCTCTACACACCTGCAAGAAGGCCGCGCTGTCAGTCTCTTTCAATGCCTCGATGCAGAACTGTATGAGTCCGGTGGTCTGTTGTAGTTTTCCTGTACAGTTTGATTGCTGATCCTGCAAGGAGAATGTGAACGAAATTAGTGTTATAGCTAAATGGTTTGCCTCTCTCCACTCCTTAGCGCACCTTTAGTATTCTGATTTTGGTGTCCTTGTCCATGCGTATAGCCTCCAAAAGGTATTCGCGTCGGTCGTGTATGGCTTGGATGAGAGCCTCGCATTGTGCGTGCACCAAGCGCTCGAATTCCATGCAGGATTCCTGTAAATAATTAACAAACAAAAAACGTTATCCAGCGTGCTACGCAGGATGTATTTCATCTCAACTTACCGTCACTTTGTCGCTCATGCCCTTCAACCGCTGGATGAATTCTGTTGTGGAACGTGCCTTCTCCGACAATTGTTGCAGATTGTGTGAAAGTTCTGTCTGCAAGTACGAAATGAAAGACAAAAGGAAGCACAGAAAAAATGTTAAAACGATGACATCAGTGACAAAATTAAAATAAAAATACACACACACAGTATATATGTACGTATATAGAGTATGGCAAAGAATTTTAGGTGCCGCTGTAATAAAAACTTTACGACTGCGAATTTCTTCATCTTTTTTTTCGGTTTTAAAAAGTGTGGGGCTTAGTCACGCCTGCGGCTGCGTCTGGCTTGATAAAAACACAAAAGTTTTAGCGCTACATTTTTTCTTATACATAGTTGTTGTGCAGTTCCAAAGTCAAGGACTGGCAGAGCAAATGAATTATATGGCCGTCAGCGTTACATTTTTGTGAAACCAGGGAAACCACAGTCAAGCTTACCATTCAATTATTTTGATTCTCAGTTTTTGTTATTCAGTTGCGTTAGTTTTCAGATCAAAAACGATTTTGTTACCCTATACCCAAAGGATCGTAGTAACAGATACGTACATCTATAAGTCTGCATGAACTCTGGGAGCATTTGAACCAGAATTGCTAGAGTCTTGTCTTAATGTGAAACCCGTTTTGTTTATGGTGATATCTTTTTTTATAGTGCCTCAGAGTAATCTGTAGTTTAATCAAAAAATCGGTGCAGTATATTATATAGCTGCCATAGCCACGATCAGTACAAAAATCAATATAAATACCACATACTTTTTGTTCATTCAAATATTGTCTTGGGTACTATATCAGTCCACTTTATCATATATTATAAGTATTGAATGGCTGTACTGAGAAAGAGCCCGATAGCAGGCTATGTAACGTTCTATCTATCGGTGCAATAGCTTGCATTCTTCTCTAAGCTAACCAACATGCATACATATTTATATTTATACTTGTACATTAAAAAAAAACATTTTAAGGCAAAATTCCATTATTTACAAACATTTTGTCTTTTATTTTATTTATTTATCTTGACGATGGGTATAGTTGTGTGTTCAATATTACGAACGTCATAGTAACCACCTATGTTGGAAATAAGACTGATAAGTCTTGGACTTGGGCAGTTCTACTACAAATATACTTATTCAAAAACCTTGACAAAGTATACGTTAAACGTTTTTTATTTTGTTGCCAGAAGCAATTTTTACACATCAATCCTATTTATGCCATCAAATGATATTGAAGCAAAGCAAGCAAATTTTTAATGACTTCAGTTGCTATGGGAAGTTAAACATTTTGGATACAGTAGAAGTTCAGTACAAAAACAAAACCACCATAAAATACAAGTTACAACCATTAATATATTACAAACAATTACTTGCATTTTGCAGAGACGCTTATACAAGCATACATTTAAAAATGTATTTCCTCAGGCATTAATAACAAATAAATAAATAATAATAAATAAATAATATATTTAACTTAAACAATGTGTTGAAATATCTTTTGTTATCATAACAGAACATTATTCAGTTTTGTCGAAGAACAAATTTCAATCGACTTAAACTTTGCAATATTAGTTGTTATACCAGCAGACAGTACCACATGACATTTGGCTCTGATATCATTATAAACAAAAATGTTTTTCTTAAAAATACTTTTGTGAGACAGATCGTTCCTATGAACCCACATTGAAACAAGAGTTTATTTGTTATGGTATATATGTATATCCAGTGTTAACTAAATGCGCTTGAACTTTGTAAGAACTTCAAATACCTCATCACGAATCGCTTAAGACCTGCCTTCACTTCCCTTACCTTCACTTCCCTTACTATTTTTGGGAAACAAAATTATGCTAAAGAGGGAAAGTTTTTGTTTTGATAAATTTCTTTAGATTTTTTGCTGGCAAGTTTCTTTGTTTGTAACGCATTTTGCGTCTTCAACAGCTTTATTTTGTCGAACAAAACAAACAACTAATTATTTTCTTATATACTCGTATTTATTAAACAACACTTTTCGATTCACCTCAATTATTTGTATTTTTCCATTTTCATTGCAAATACCCGTATGTATGAGACATTTATTAAATTGATAATGATTGTTTTTATCAATGATTTCTAAAGGCACAAACAACTTGTTGTGCAGCAGAAGTTCCGGCTTCTGTACTGGAAAGTATAGTAAAAGCTGTTGCCATATAGTAAGAGTCTTATTCTATTTATAGTAAAGAAAATTGGACTTCCCGCTAATAGTACAAGAATATTTCTGACATTTCGACATAGTTGTGGCCAGAGGTCCTCCACAGCTACTTGTTTACAGCAAAATGTAATAACGCTGCCCAACTAATATTCAAATACTGTTCCAACGAAATGAATTTCGACTGTATTTTGGGCTTCTGTATTCCCACCCTCATATAAACCGCAAACCAAAAACGAATGACGAAATCTTTTACACATGCTCGCAAAAAGCTCATTTGTAAATTGTTGCATAAAACCATAGAGACAGAAACATTGTCAGTTTTGTAGTTGTTGGAGCTTTTGTGGTGAGATGCGCAAACATTTGCATTTGACATTGACAAGTAGCAGGCAAGAGCAACAACAAATTGAAATATATAGTATGTACATATGTAATATGTATAATGGCAGGAGCAGGAAGGAAATGTGGCAAATTGTATTTCGAAATTTTTCCAGTTACATACAGAAATTAAATTTCTCATACGCCATGTTAACAACCGGCGGCCATTTGTTGTTGTCTAACATTTCAATTCATTAGCATTAACTCGTTGTTTGCCGCTTCCGTCGCTGTTGTTGTTGCTGGTAATGATGCATGTCGCGTATTGTCGCCTGTTTCTGGTTCTGTTACTGTTTGTTTTGTTGCTAGCATGTGTTGGTGTGTGTATGTGGCCTGCGGCTCACTTGCCATTGAAAGTGTGCGCAGTTTCGTGTTTGCTGCTAACAATTATGCTCAGTGAGTTGGTCTATAATGCCTGCACGCAATACACGTATAATGTCCAGCATTCGGAGGAAGCTCAAGTGCTTGTCTGCTCAGCTGCCACTTCACTTTGGCCGAATGCCACCCTCATATTTTTGCCCAAGGCATTTGCATGCTTTTCACTTTTACATGCAAACACAGCTGCCCCTTTTGCCAACATCCCACCCCTCTAACACTTTCATTCGTAATGCCAGACAGGGAGACGACATGGCGTATACTCATTACGTTTCACATTTCTCTTCCTTTTTTCTTGATTATTTTATTCTATTTGGCATTCGTCATCGTCATCGTCGTTACCCTTTCATTTGCGATGTTCTGTATAATGTTTACTTATTTGCTTTTCCTTCTGCATGCAAATAAATAGCTGCAAGGTAATTTTTACTTCATTTTGTCTCTTCCCTTGCATATTGCTGTGTCAACTTCTGTTCTTGTTGGTGTTGTTGTTGTTTTCTTCTTAACCCTACCACTTGGCATTGCCAATTCATTTAATTGGCTGCCAAGGCGTGACCTCGTGCTACAAGCTGTTGTGACACATTAGGGTTTGTTTAAAATTAATTCTTAACAATAAGTCCAAATAACCGATAAAATATCGACATAGCCGCTGGTTGTAAGCTATTGTGCCTTGCATTCAATTAAATAACAAGTAAAAAAGCTAAAGTCGGGTGTCCCGACTTTGAAATCTTCTGTACATATGTTTAAAATAACTATAGAAAATATAAAATATTAAGAAAATTAAAAAAAAAAAAAAATTTGGTTTGGTGATTTTACATATCTCGGTATTCGAACTCACGTAAAGGGTGTATAATTGCACATTTACATAGCAATTGCGACTGTGTGAGTGTATGTATGCCTGTGCGCATCTATTCGTGCTTGTGTAAACATGTTAGCAGTCAATCAAACAGCAACATCAACAGCCGCGGGCAGCGCTTGAGCTGCGCTGCAGCAGCAAATATATTTATGGCTATAACTTCTTGTTAAATCGGTGTATCATAATAAAATTAATGCAAAATTTTAGTTCGAAATTCCAAGAATTACGGGAGTTAGAAAAAATCGCAATTTGCATGGGAGAGGGGGGAGGGAGGGAAATTCCAAAATACACATTTTCTGCGTATTCACACAAGGCACCTTGGACTAAAATTTGGTGTCCCTAGGTCTTATAGTCTCCGAGATATATGCGATTATACGAATGGAAAATCGGGAAAACCCCCATAGGGGGGAAGTGGGGGGGGAAATCAAAAAAATAAAACAAACTCGTTTGCAAAATTTGGTGTCTATCTCTTATAATCCCTGAGATCCAGGTGTTCATACGGACGGCTGATCAAGAATATATATACTTTGTGGGGTCTGCCACGCCTCCTTCTGCCTGTTACATTTTTTACTGCCCGAAAATCTAATATACTCTTGTACATTTCATGTACAGAGTATAAAAATTGTCTAAAATATACAGGAAATACAAAGGAAATAAAAATGATATTAATAATTTGCTCATGAATACAACTTTCTCATATAATTGACTACTTTATATAGTTTCAAAAAATTGTATTGTACTACTACAGACACTTGGTCATTATTTATTAGGTTTCCATAATCTTTAACTTATTTTTTTTGTGATTTTACTCATTAATTACTTTTATGAATAATCTTTGATGCATTCCAGCCATTAAATCTTTTCAACATGCCCTAAGCAACAGAACAACAGCTGCTTCCGCTCTCTAAATAAGCTAACTTGATTCATTGACTTAGAAAAGCGCTTTAATAATAAATGCATTTTCCATGCTTTCATAAATTTTCACTCAAATTTTCAGAGTCCAATTACAGCCAAATATTTGGTACACGGAAATAATGAGCTCGAACAGAACCCAACCCCTGCAAAAAACAAGACAGCTTATGACGATTACATTCATTAAAAGCGCACCCGCAAGCTCAGTCCCCACCACCACCACCCCACCCATAGATTCACTGAGAAGGGAGCGCTGAAAAGTAGGCAATAGAAAAGCTGCAGACAGCACATTGCAATAATAGTAATGCTAAGGGTGGGGTGGGGTATTGTGGTGTGGGGGTTGTGCTGAGGCGTATGGTGTGTTTGGTA